CCTCAGACTCGGCGGAGAATGCAGCCTGCGCCGCGGTCGGCCCCCTCCCCCCCACCGAGCCCTGAAACGCGCATCAGAAAGCAAAGAACAGCCTTCCAGTGCCACCGCCTTTCCTGCCTCCCCGCTGCGGGGGGCGCGGCTGCGCACGCACAGGGTGCAGCCGATGCAGGTGTCGTAGATCTTCACGGCGTGCGTGCGGCGCGCCACCTGCGCGCGAGCGTGGCCCCCCACCCCGCTCGGCGTGGGCCGTGCGCGAAGAGCGGGAGGCGCCCTCCTCGAGGAAGGGCTCGCGCCAGCGGGCTGGCTGCTGTTCTCTTCCTTCTCCTCCTCCTCCTCCTTCTCCTCCTCCTCCTCATCCCTCAACCTCGACCTCCTCCTCCTCCTCCTCCTCCTCCTCCTCAGCATCGTTCCTCCCTCTGCAGCGTCGCGGCCTTGCGGGATCCCCTCGGCCTGGGTCAGGGGCTGCCGCCCGCAGGCCGCGGAGGTGTGTAGTACCATCGATATCTCGTGAGAGAGCCCAATAGGAGACCCTTCTTGCCAGCGGTTCCTTCTTCTCCTTCCCTTCTCACCACCCCCAGTTGTTCATTCCATCATCCCCGAGAGGCAGGATGGATGGAGAAATGGAGTGGGCGGGTTTGGCTTAGCGCGCAGGAAGACATTCAATCATATACGCGTGTGCACATTCATGATTATGTCTGTGTGCATGTGCGCCTGTCTTCGCACACTATACATCCTGCATTGCGGGATGACGCACGGGCCACGCATGCGCGCAGGTCTGCGATCAACACCCTTGCCACTGGCGCGCACCTTTCAGCTTGATCCATATGCCCGGGCGGGTGCAGAACGGCGCGGTGTGTGTAGAGTGTGTGTGTGTGTGTTTTGTGTATTGTGTGTGCGTGCTTGTGTGCGTGTCGTTTGTGTGTGTTGTGTGTGTTGTGTTGTGATGTGTGTTGTGCTTTGTGTATCATGTATTGTGTGTTGTGTGTTGTGTGGTGTGTGTGTGTGTGTGCGTGCACGTTGTCTAGTGTGTGTGTGTGATGTGGTGTGCGCTGTGTGGTGTGTGGTGGGTGCTGTGTGGTGTGCGTTGTCTGTTGACTTGTGTGTGTTGTGTCCTGTGTGTTGTGTGTTGTGTGCTGTGTGGTGTGTGTGCTGTGCGTTGTGTGTTGTGAGTTGAGGGGTCTGTGGCGTGTGTTGTGTGGCGTGTGTTGGTTGTGCGTTGTATAATGTGTGTGGTGTGCTGTGTGTGTGCGTTGTGCGTTGTGTGTTGTGTGCTGTGTATTGTGTGCTGTGTTGTGTGATGTGTATTGTGTGTTGTGTATTGGGTGCTGTGTGTTGAATGTCGTGTGTTGTGTGTTGTGCGTTGTGTGGTATGTGCTGAAGGCTCTGTGGTGTGTATTGTGTGGCGTGTGTTGGTTGTGCGTTGGGTGTTGTGTGTGGTGTCGTGTGTTGTATGTGGCGTGTGTGTATTGTGGTATGTGATGTGTGTTGCGTGCCGTGTGCTGTGTGCTGTGCGGTCCGTGGTGTGTGGTGTGTGGTGTGTTCTGTGCGGTGATGCGGTATGTGTTGTGTGGTGTGTGTTGTGTGTTGTGCGTTGTGTGTTGTGTGTCGGGTGTTGTGTGATGTGGATTGTGTGGTGTGTGTGTGTGGTGAGTGTGGTGTGGTGTGTGCTATGCGTGCGTGTGTTGTGTGTTGTGTGCTGTGTGCTATGTGCTGTGTTGTGTGTGGTGTGTGGTGTGTGCTATGCGTGCGTGTGGTGTGTGGTGTGTGTTGCGTGTTGTGGGGTGTGTGCTGTGTGTTGTGTGTTGTGTTGTGCGTTGTGTGGTGTGTGTTATGGTGTAGCGTGGAGTGCGGAATGTGTTGTGTGTTGCGTGTTGTATATTAAGTGTGGTGGGTGTTGTGTGTGGTGCTCTGTGTGTCGTGCGTTATGCGTTGTGGTGTGTGGTGTGTGTTGTGTGTCGTGTGTTGCGAGTTGTGTGTTGTATGGTGCGTGCAGTGTGGTGTGTGGTGGGTGTGTGGTATGTGGTGTGTACTATGTGTTGATGCGGTGTGTGTGTGTGTTATGTTGTGTGCTGGGTGTGTTGTGCGTTGTACGATGTGTGTTATGTGTTGTGTGCTGTGTGTTGTGTGTTGTGTGGTGTGTGGTGTGTGGTGAGTGGTGTGTGGTGTGTGCTGTGTGTGTTGTGTGGTGTGTATTATGTGTTGTGCGTGGTGTGTTGGATCGTGTATGCTGTGTGGTGTGTAGTGTGTTATGAGGTGTGCGGTGTGTGTTGTGCGTTGTGCGGTGTGTGTTGTGAGGTGTGTGGTGCGTGGTGTGTGGTGTGGGGTGTGTGTTGTGTGGTGTGCTGTGTTGTGTGTATTGTGTGTTGTGTGGTGGGTGTGTGGTGTGTGTTGCGCGTTGTATGTGGTGTGTGTCATTTGTTGTGCGTTGTGTGTTGTGTGTGGTGTGGTGTGGATTGTGCGTTGTGTTGTGTGGTGTGTGGCGTATGCGGTGTGTTGTGTGTTGTGGGTTGTGTGTTGTGTGTTGTGTGGTGAGTGTGTGTGTGTGAGCGTGTTGTGTGTGATTTGGGTTGTGTGTTGTGTGTTGCGTTATGGTTTGGCGTGCTGTGTGGGTTGTGTATTGTGTGTTGTGGTGTGTGTGTTGCGTGTCGTGTGCTGCGTGTTGTATTGTGTGTTGTGCGTGGAGTGTGGTGTATGGTGTGGGGGGTGTAGTGTGTGTTGTGTGTTGTGTATTGTGTGTTGTGTGTTGTGTGCTGTGTTGTATGTTCTGTGTTCTTGGCTGCCTGTTGTGGATTGTGTGTTGTGTGGTGCTGGTGTGGATTGTGTGGTGTTTGCTGTGGGTTGTGTGCTGCGCTGTGTTCTCAGTTGTGTGTTGAGGGGTGTGTGGTGCGAGTTGGGTGTTGTGTGTGGTGTGTGTTGTGTGTGGTGTGTTGTGTGGTGTGCGTTGTGTGGACTGTGGTGTGTGTTGTGTGTTGGGCGTTGTGTGCTGTTCTGTGTGTCATGTGTGTTGTGTCTTCTGTGGTGTGGGTTGTGTGCTGTGCGGTGTGTGGTGTGTGGTGTGTCGTGTGATGTATGCTGTGGTGTGCTGTGTGTTGTGTGTTGTGTATAGTGTGTTGTGTGTTGTGTGGTATTATGGTGTGTGTTGTGTGTTGTGTGGTGTATGTTGTGTGGTTTGCGGTGTGTGCTGTGTGTTGTGTGGTGTGTGTGTTGTGTGGTGTGTTGTGTGCGGTGTGTTGTGTGTTGTGTGTTGTGTGTTTTGTGTTGCGTGCTGTGTGCTGTGTGGCGTGTGGTGGTATGTGTTGTTTGTTGTGTGTTGCGTGCTGTGTGTTGTGTGGTGTGTACTGTGGAATGCAGGGTGTGTTGTGTTGTGTGTTGTGTGTTGTCTGCTGTGTTGTATGTTGGGTGGTGTGCGGTGTCTGTCATGTGATGTGCGTTGTGTGGTGTGTGGTGTGTGGTGTGTGGTGTGCGTTGTGTTTTGTGTTGGTTGTGTGTTGTGTGTGTGTTGTGTTCTATGTATTGTGGGTGCGTGCGTGTGTACGTGCTGTTGGTATGTGATGTGCGTTGTGTGTTGTGTGCTGTTTGGTGTATTGTGTGTTGTGCATTGTGTATTGCGTGGTGTGTGTTGTGTGGTGTGTTGCGTGTTGTGGGTTGTGTGTTGTATGTTGTCTAGTGTGTGGTGTGTGGTGTGTGGTGTGTGTTGTGTGGTGGGTGTTCTGTGTGATGTGTGTGTGTTATGTGTTGTGTGTTGTGTGGTGTGTTTTCCTGCTACGCAAACAGTTATTGAACCAAATGGCGTCGGCAACCGATCACCATTTGCACGCCACAGACGCGCTCTAAAAAAAAAACAGTTTGTCCGCCGTTTGCGGCGCTGCTCTGAAGGACAAATGTTGCCCCCCCTGCGAGCAACAGAGACAACTGCGCAAACGATCGTGTCCAAGGCGGGCAGGGCAGAGGAGGAGGAGAGGGAGGAGGAAAACCCAGCGCCGCCAGACTGCGCCCGCGCCGTCACGAGGCCCCTCTCAACAGCGCACGCGCCTTAGAATTCTCAGCCCCTCGCTGGATCCAGTGCTTTGAGAGTTTCCGGATTGAGCTTGCAGCCAGTGCCCCCTGGAAGCGAATGTGGTTCGCGGTGCGATAGACTCCGTAAATTGCCAGTGCCAGTCGGGCGACGTCCTCATCAGGGCAGCTCTCGTCCAGAAGAAACAACATAAGCATTGCGGGTTGCCGGTCCACTCCAAGGCCAGCAGGCCTGTTTGCTGTCAGTAAGCCCCAGAGCCCTGGACAAACGGAATAATGTTCCACGCTGTCGCACCCACCCTGGCAACTCAGCAGGCAACGCGAGGTCGAGACCACCCCTGCCGACGTAGTCGCAACGTGTCGTATCCTGCGGCCGGTCACCCATCCTTTGTAGATCGTACGCAAATATGCGGACGCAGCCCTCGGCGGGCACCACGAGTGCACGACGTGGAATGCCCGCGAAACCCAGCCAGCCAACACGTCCACAGGGAGCAGAAAGTCCCACCTGAGCAGCTTGCGCGGGAGACGGCGCTCGGTGGGAAGAGGGCCTCCTTGAGCAATTCACTGGCTATTGCTTGAAAGTTCGGTCTTCGCCCCTGCCCTGCCCGATCTGTCAGCGCGCATATTTTGCGGCGAGTCACTCCGGAGCATGCAGCCGCGTGTTCAGCCCGGACCAAGCGCGCGAAGTAAGAGTTACAATGCCACGTGCCAAACGGCCCAGTCAAGCATCTGTCATCGAGTTGTTCTAATTCTTGGCACCGTTCGCGGCAGTCCGGCGCCGCCTGCTCCATCGCGCGCAACTTCGCCGCCAAAGCCACGCACTGTATATTTGTGAATGAGTGCTTGAACCCGATTGTTCCCTTCAGGCTGCATAGGTCCTCGGGCAAAATCCAGAAGCCAGGGCCGGAGGCAAGACGTTGCCCACGGGATGAGCCCCCCCAGGTTGGCCGGGACGTCCTCCAACTGCATGACAAGGGACAGCACAGAGCATATGAAGGCATTGAACGCAATCATCGTCAGAAAAAGGCCGAGGTGGCGAGGGGCCCAACACTGTACTCTGCTCGCAAATGTTTCGACTGGTCTCTCCCAACTCCTGTCGCCGGGTCGAATCCAGAATCCCAGATATGCGCCCGCAGAGCTCGCAACCATGTCACGCAGAGCGGGCACCGCTTCCCGGATGAGCGCTCTGACGTTGGACTCCGAGACGAACTTCCACAGCGGGGTGAACACCGTTTTCTTGATGTTCGGCGCTAGACAGGAAATCGCTTCAAATTCTGCGAAAAACTTGGCCATGACGGGCAACAAGGTGACATGGCCACGAACTGCTGCCGCAGTGTCGTCGGCAAATGCTCTCGCCACCACATGCCCCGATAAGTTCTGCGCCAAGTCACGCACTAGAATGTCAGCACAGATGGCGAAAAGTAGCGGTGAAAGCGGGCATCCCTGTCGAACTCCGCATCCGACGGTGATGCTGTCGAAGAGTTGCGACTGCGCTTTGATATTGTGGCTGCTGTTGTTGTCAAACATCTTAGTCGTGTTAACGAACTCCACCAGTGGACCAACTGCGGCCAACACTTCCCGCATAAATGCGTGGTCCATGCCGGGAAAAGCAGCGCGGGAATCGAACAGGAGGACCGCGCCCTTCTTGGACATGAGTGAAATCTTCTGCGCCGCAAAATCAATTACCAGAACGTTGCGGAGCCTGCGCCGCCCACGCGCGAAGCCGCGCTGCGATGTCGAAATCCGCGGAGCCACAGCGCGGTCTAGGACCACCCGGGATACGGAGGCGATGATGCGATTACTTGCGTCCACAATAGACAAAGGTCTGGCGCTGCCGGCCTCGAAGCATTCTGCCCCGCCTGGGAGCGCAGAGCCAGGTCCCTTGGGTAAGCAGATCAAGAAACCAAGATCGAAGTCATCGGGAGGACTGGCGATGCCCCGCAACGCCCCATGCACAATGTCGTAGAGCAGCGGCGCAATGACCGCGCGCGCGATACTGAACGCCGCAAATGGAGCCCCGTCGGGCCCTGGCGCCGAGGCAGAAAGGTCGGCCAGCACCGCGTTTACATCCTCGATCGTCGGCGCGAGGTCAAGTAGCCTCGTAAGCAGAATCCCACGCCAACGGCCAATCCATCTCTCCCGGAGCGCCCCGTCGGTGGCTTGCGCGCCAAAGGTCCTTTGCCAGTGCAGCGACAGCACCCAAGCAATGCCGGCAGGATCTGCAATGATCTCACCTTGCGGATCTCGGACTGCATGGAAAGAATTTGTCGGCCCAGAAACGAGTTTGGACAGCGTGGGCACAATATTCGCCGTGCGTTTCCGCCATGCGCGGCCGGGTAGAAAATCCCGGCGCCTGCGCAACATGTTTAGCTTATCGGCGACCGCCTTCTGTGAGAGCTCCATAGCGTGGTCTTGGATCGCAGCAAAGCCTGGGTGTGCCGGCGCCTCTGGCGCAGCTGGAATGTCTCGAAGTCGCGGGCAGACAACTTGCATTCGCTGCATTGTTCTGATATTCCCAATGAAAACAGCGCGGAGGAAGACAAGCGTAGCTGACAGCATTTCGCTTGAAGTGCTTGCTGTCCGCCCCAACTTCGCTCGCTTGGCCGACAATTCAACTGTTCTGGCACTGCGCTTGAATTTGTTCAGCTCGGCGAAATACGAGGCGCTGGGATCCCCCGCGCACGGCGGCCGCCTCGATCAGTCGAGACTGGAACCCCTCGTCATTCATGACCCACTCTGGGAAGATATTCGGCGCCTTCCGCGGCTTGGGCCTCAGACCAAATGAAACAAGCTTGTGGTCTGAAAGAACCGATGGCCGATCCGGCACGCAGCAAAAGCTTTCCATACACAACGAACATCTGGGGCGCATGTTCGAATAAACCCGGTCCAAGCGCGATAAGACGAAGCTGTCTTCAAACGTGCATCGGTCCTGTTCCCATTCCAGCGAATGGCATGGCCGCATATTATTATTCCACTCCTCGGCTACTTGACGGTCTGCGGAAGAACAGGCTCAAGTAGCCTTGATATACCTGTCCGTGCACGAAGACACAACATTGAAGCCGCCTGCGACGATGCTGCGCGCTGCAGGGCGCATTTGCTCAGCGAGCTTCCTCACCATATGAATGTGCGCATCCTCGTTGTCCGGGTCGGAATAAGCGACGCGCATTCGCAGACTGCCTCTGGCCCCATTAAGCTCAAGAGCTGCGAGGCGCCCCTGCTGGATAACCGCCCAGCGTTGAAGCGCAAATTTCGCAGAAAATATGTTTCACAATTATAGAGACACCGCCCTTGAACTGGTCCAAAAACGAGCTATAATACTAACGGCCGTGGGCAAATAATCTCCAACAGAAAATTCGCATACCTGATCGTATCTGGCTCGTCACAAACATGCAATGACCTACAATCCCATGCAGCCCCCGAAAATCTGTCCGCGAAGGGGGCCCCCAATGAAGCCGGCGTGGCACTAGGAGAATTGGGCCCTGGCGAAGGGGAAGATGGCACAGCAGAGGCAGCAGACGTAGAGGAGGAAATCGAATTCGTAGAAGACGCGCTCGATAAGCTCGAGGAAAAGTAATACTAGTAAGAATATGTACGGAAGGGCGACCCCTCTGAGGCCAATGAGTGAACTTGTAGAGGTACATGTGATCGCCGCAAGGGCCTCGCCAGCAAGGCCCCACCCCCCTCGTCTTCCTCGCCCCGACGGCCTCCTCTAACCTCGAACCACTCCTCGACGCGGCCTTGGACCACCTCCTTGAGCGCGCCCCGCGCGCCCGAATCAGGCGCGTCGATGCACGACTCGTTGGAGACTTTCGCCGCCATCTTGCCGCTCAACTTTACAATGCCCAATTTCGATAAATCCTGATGGACTGGGCGTCCCGCCCCGCGTCCTCGATCAAATGCTGCTTGATCAGGCCCAGCGCCCGACCCTGGCCTCTGGCCATGAAGGCCCCGTTGTCTGAAAACCACAACTTGCGGCCCCCGCTGACTACCCTCGCCTGGCCCTGGATACGCCTGTAGAACCCGTTTCTTGCAGCAGCCGAAACAAATTCGATATTCCGATCCTCGCAGGGCCCGTGAAAGCGAAGACCCCCTCGACCTCGCCCCCCCTGTCGCCCGCCGCCAAAAACTCTTCGATTTTCCCCGCCACCTCCTCCTGGCCCGAATCCTCGGAAACCCGCCTACGATTACCTGGGCCGACCGGATTCCAGCGACCTGCCCCGCCCCCTTGCCGACCCCCTCCGATGCCCCCCGGAGACTTCCCACTTCTTGACGCGCGGACCCCATAGCCGAGCTTGCCATTTCCGCTGCCTTTTCGGCCTGGGCCCCGGCGGCCTTCAGCCCCCCCGAGGTTGTGAGGCGCCAGCTCTTCACGAAGCAACTTCGGCGACATATTCGCCATCTCGGGGCAGATGCGGCCCTCGATGGCCACAAGGACGCCCTCATCCATCGAGTTCCCAAGGGCATCCTCTGCAAACGAATCCCCCCAAAGCTGTTTCCCATCCCCCTTCCAGGGGCGCCGCCAGGGCGGCGACTCCGTTCCCCGCGGCGGCAGGCAACGCAAACGTGATAGACACAATCGTCACATAACCATATCCGAGTCCCGCCTCATATGATTTCCCGGCACAGATCGCATTCAATGTCGTCTGCGCGTTGAGCGCGCATCATGGGGCACCCGCGTTCTCCAAAATGTGTCGCTGGATTCGCCATTGGCCAAAGAGTGCAATAAGATTGCTTACTGCGCCGAGGGTTAAGTCCAGGAAGGTTACTTGAGCCAAAGAACCCTTGAGCCAAAATGGCTACGGTGTGCGATGCGCGCGTTGCCTGGTGTGGTGTGTGATATGTGATGTGTGATGTGTGCTGTGTGCTGTGTGCTGTGTGGTGTATGGTGTGTGCTGTCTGCTGCGTGGTGCGTGATGAATGGCTACGGTGTGTGCTGTGTGCTGTGTGGTCTGCGATGTGTGTGTTGTGTGTTATCTGGTGTGTGCTGCGTGGTGTGCAAAGCGTGTTGTGTGCTGTGGTGTGTGTTGTGTGGTGTGCGTTGTGTTTTCTGTGGTGTGTTGTGTGGTCTGCATTGTGTGTTGTGTGTGGTGTGGGGTTTGTTGCGTGTTGTTTGTAGTGGGTGTTGTGTGTTGTGGATTGTGTGTTGTGCGTGGTGTGTTGTGTGGGGTGTGGCGTGTGTTGTGCGGTGCGTGGTGCGTGGTGCGCGTTGAGTGTAGTGCGGTTTGTGCGGTGTTTTTCGATCGTGCGGTGTGTGGAGTGTGGAGTGAGGAGTCGGTTGGGCGTTGTGTGTGTGCTGTGTGGTGTATGATGAGTGTTGCGTGTTGTGCGTTGAGGGCTGTGTGTTGCGTCGTGTGTGCTGTGTGGTGTGTTTTGTGTGGTGTGGTGTGTGTGTGTTGCGCGTTGCGTGGTGTGTGTTGTGTGTGGTGTGTGCTGTGTTGTGTGCTGTGTTGTGTGCAATGTGTTGTGTGTTGTGTGTTGTGTATTGTGTGGTGTGTGCTGTGTGTTGGGGGATGTGTGGCGCGTGGTGCATGGTGTGTATTGTGTGCGTGTTGGGTTTTGTGTTCTGCGTTGTGCGTTATGCGCCGCGTGCTGTGCGGTGCAACGCGCGGTGTGGCGCGGGCTGTGAGTGCGTTGCGCGATGTGTGTTGCGTGGTGCGTGCTGTTTGCCGTGCTGTATGGTGCGCCTGCTAGGCTGTTAGTTGCGCGTTCTGTGGTGTGGTTTGTGTGTTGTGTGTTGCGAGCTGTGCGCTGTGTGCTGTGTGTTGTGCGTTGTGCGTTGTGCGTTGTGCGTTGTGTTTTGCGAACAGTGTTGTGGTGTATCATGTGCATTGTGTGTTGTGTCGTGTGCGGTGCGTTTCGTGGGTGTGTTTTGCGCGGTGAATGGTGCGCGGTGAGTGGTGCGTGGTGCGTGGCGCGCGTTGCATGGCGTGTGCGTTGTGTGATATGCGTTGTGTGGTGCGTGGTGCGTGGTGTGTGTGGCATGTGGTAAACAGTGCGTCGCGCGTTGCGTGGTGCGTGTTTGCGCGGTGCGTGGTGCGTTGTGCGGTCTGTGCTGCGTGCGGTGCGTGGTGCGTGTTGTGTGTTGCGCGCTGTGTTGCGTGGTCTGCGGTGCGTGGTGTGGGTTGTGTATTGGGTGCCGCGTGGTGCGTGACATGTGGCGTGTGGTGTGGTTTGTACGTGGTGTGTGTGTCGCTTGTGTTGTGTGTTGTGCTGTGTGTTGCCTTATGTGGTGTGTACTCTGTGTTGCGTGTTGTGGTGTGCGTTGTGTGATGTGGTGTGTGTTGTGTGGCGCGTGCTGTGTGGGATGCCTTGTGCGTTCTGAGTTATGCGTTGCGCGTTGCATGGCATGTGGTGTGGCGCGTGTGGGTTGTGGTGTTCGCGCGGTGTTGGTTATGCGTTGTGCGTTGTGAGTTGTGCGTTGCGTTGCGTGCGTTGTGGGTTGCGTGCTGTGTGTTGCGCGTTGTGTGGTGTGTGTGCGTGGTCTGTGTTGCGCGCTGTGCGATGTGTGCTGTGCGATGCGGACTGTGGGTTGTGCACTGTGTACTGTGTGGTGAGGGGTGTGTGGTGTGCGTTGCATGGCGTGCATCGCGTGGCGTATGCTGTGGTGCGTGGTGTGTGCTGTGCGTTGTGTGGTGTGCGATGTGAGCTGCGAGGTGTGTGTGTGTGTGTGTTGCGTGCTGCGTGTTGTGCGTTGTGTCTTGCTTGTTGTGTGGTGTGTGGTGCGTTGTGCGCCTTGTGCGTTGCGTATTGTGCGTTGAGTGTTGTGCGGTGCGTGGTGGGTGCTGTGTTCTGCGTTGTGCGTGGTGTATGTTGTGTGTTGTGCATGGTGCGTGGTGGTTGGTGTCGTGCGTGGTGCGCGTTGCGTGGTGCGTGCTATGTGGTGCGTGGCGTGTTGTATGTGTGTTGTAGTGCGTGCAGTGTGTTGCGTGCTGCGTGGTGCGTGTTGCGCGCTGTGCGTTGCGTTGGGCGCGGTGTCCGACGTGCGCTGCGTTGCGCACGGTGCGCGGTGTGAGGTGTGCAGCGTGTTGCGCGGTGTGTGGCGTGGTGAGCGCATGGTGCGCATTGTGCGTTGCGTAGTGGGCTGTGTGGGGGGCGCGGTGTGAGTTGTGAGTTCTTCATGGCGTGTAGTGCCTTGTGTGTTGACTGTTGCGCGTCGTGTCGCGCGTGGTGTGCGCGCGCGTTGCGTGGTGTGCGCGTTGTGAGTTTTGCGTTGCGTTCTGAGATGCGTTGTGTACTGCGTGGTCTGGTGTGCGCGGCGTGCTCTGCGTGGTGCGTGGTGTGACGTGTTGATGCGGTGCGTGGTGTGCGTCGTGTTTTGGTCGTAGTGTTGTGTGGGCTGTGTGTCGTGCGTTGTGTGTGGAGTGCGGTGTGTTGCGCGTTGTGTGTTGTGCGTCGTCGGTTGCGTGTTCTGTGCTGTGTGGTTTGCGTTGTGCATTGTGTGTTGT